TAATTGTCCCCCCTTGGACTCCCAAAGTGCTGGGATTGCAGGTGTGAGCCACCTCACCCAGCCATGTATTTTTTTCTCTCTGAATATAATGTCACCTTCCTGCTCCCGCTTGCTCTTTCTTTGGTTGCAGTGGGGAGGGCAGCGAAGGTAGTGGGGCTGCTGGGTCCCCACACCTGAGTCCCGAGGCTCCCAGACTAGGGTGGCTCCACTTACCCAAAGAAGAGAAGAGCAGCACAGCCAGGATAGGGCTGGGGCTGGATGAGGGAGCCCCAGGAGCCATAGCTGGGGCAGGGGTGGGGGCCCGGAGCGTCTGTGGGGTTGACAAAGTGGGGAACCAGGAACTGAGCGGGGGGTTTCTGGAACCCGCTTAAAATCCCCTGGTGCCCCAGCATGAGGAGGCTGTCCTCAGCCAGTAACCAATTGCAGCCTGGCATGTGCAGTTGAGAGGTGGTGGGGAGGGGAGCAGAGTGCAGGGAGCAGAAGGGGCATTGTATAGTCTGGGTGGAGGGGTGGGGGGACACATACCACCCCATATACAGAGGGCTTTGTGTCTACTGGCCTCTCCCTGTCCCAGGCTGGAATGTTGTGGGGGACTGGCTGGTGAGGGAGAGGGACAAAAACAGGGACACAGACAGACTTCTCTGAGGGACAGATAGGGAACCTCGATTTAAAGGCCATAAAAAGATATTCCTCCTTAGCCTCCTTGCCTGAGGGGCTGCTTCAGAGCCCTAGGAACTAGAGGTGGGTGTCCCCCAGAGAACTCTGAAAATACGATATGCCTCGTTATCTCCACTAATGTGGGCTACATTATGGACTTCTTGAGATGACCAAGTCCTATAGGAGTTTTCCCCCCTCACTTCCCTGCATCCTGCATGATTCTTCCCAGATAGAAGTTTTTCTCCACTGGACTATTTCCCGCCAAGAAGCCTCTAACCTTTCCCTGTTTGTCAAGGAGTCCTTTAATGCCTGATGCTGCTATTTAAATCAATTTCAATTTATATCAAGGCTATAAAATTGCATTGAGTGCCAGCAATATGTAAAGTACGAGAATGCAGGTAATAGAGAGAGGAATAAAAATTAAGTCCTTCCTGCAAGGAGTGGAAAATTTGGTTTGGGGAGGTGGAAGTGGGAGGATCAGAGGACAAACCCATCAACAACCAATTATAATAAGCCGTGATGCTTCCTTTAGTAATAAAAAAAGCTCTGGGAGTACAAAAGAGGGCACACACAGCTGCAACATCATGGAGACCGAGTAAGTTATATGAGAAATTAAAGACAAAACAAACTTTATTCAATAGATAAAGTTTATGTCAGGCACAGTGGCTGACACCTGTAATCTCAGGACTTTGGAAGGCTCAGGCAGGAGGATCACTTGAGTTTAGGAATTTGAGACCCACCTGGGCAACACAGTGACACCTTGTCTCTACTAAAAATTTTTAAAAAAATCAGCTGGGCACGTTGTCACATGCTTGTAGTCCCAGCTACTTCGGAGGCTAAAGCAGGAGGATCACTTAAACCTGGGAAATCAAGGCTGCAGTGAGCTATGACTGTGCTACTGCATTCCACCCTGGGCTACAGAATGATACTCTGTCTCAAAAATAAATAAACAGATAAATAAATAGTTCAGAGGGAAGAACAGTTGTGTCTAGGAGGTGATGTTAGAAATGAACCAACCTTGAAGGATGACTGCCATTTTGGAAAGGGAGGAAGGTAATGTTGCCAGAAGATGGAATAGCAAAAGCAAGGACAAAGAGGCGAGAGAGAGAGAGAGAGAGAGAGAAAGAGAGAGAGAGAGAGAGAGAGAGTGTTGTGTGTGTGTTTTGTGTTTGTGTGTGTGTGTGTGTTATGTAGGTTTGTGATGTGCTGGATATATTCAGGGCAGGAATTTTGACTTGATTTGGGGAACTTGAAGTGGCATAGTCAAAAACAAGGCCAGACAGGAAAGTCAAAGCCAGTCTGTGAAAGGCCTTAAATGACAGGTGAAAGAGGGTGAATTCAATTTGGTACATCACGAGAATCTGAAGGGGTTGGTGTTAGGGTGGAGTTAGCCATGGGCATGTCTACATGACCAGAGCTGAGGTTTATTTGTTTTTTTGAGGCAGTCTCGCTTTGTTGCTCAGGCTGGAATGCAGTGGCATAACGGCTCACTGCAGCCTTGACCTCTGAGGCTCAAGCAATCCTCCTATCTCAGCTTTCCAAGTAGCTGGGGACCACTACAGGAGCATGTCACCACGTCCAGCTAGTTAAAAAAAATTTTTTTTTTCAGAGACAAGGTCTTGCTCTGTGGCCCAGGCTGTAGTGCAGTGGTGTGATCATTGCTCACTGCAGCCTCAATCTGTCTGGCTCAAGGGATCTTCCTGTTTCGGCCTCCAGATGAGCTGAGCTACAGGCAGGTTCCACCACACCCAGCTAATTTTTCAATTTTTTTTTGCAGACGGGGTTCTCACTATGTTGCTCAGGTTGGTCTTGAACTGCTGTATGCAAGTGATCCTCCTGCCTTGGCTTCCCTAAGTACTGGGATTACAGGTGTGAGTCACTGTGCCTGACCTCTAGAGGTTAATTTGAGTGGGGTGGTCATTGTTATTCCCGCTGTGAGACCACTGCAGACCCGCCCATGTAAAGGAACTGTGTCCTGGTACCTTCCTGGGATCTCATTAGGCCACAGTCCTGGTGGGTTTAGTCATTAGTATTAGATTTGGGTTGTGGAATTCTAAATATGGGATTGTTTATGAAGTCTAAAGGCAAAATTATCATCATTGACAAATATTTACAGGATGTTGTAGTCAAGATTTCTATAAAACAGCAATTCAAAAGTACTGTAAACATCAACAACACAAAAACCCAAAACTCTCTCCCTCCAAAATTTCCACCTAACTCCACCTCCCAACTGTAAGTAATCATTTTCTCCTTATCTAACTGTAAGGCTGACCAAAAGGATGGAGAGGCAGATGCAGGGTCAGGTTTAGCAAGTTTATTTCAACCTGCCAGGCTGCTGCCTTACCACAGGCAGTGAAGGCAGCAGTCCGGCTTACAGACTATGTGGGTTATATAGGGGGTTTGCAGATAGTGGGGTGCTATTCTAAGAAAAACTGCATCTTGGTTCTCAGGGGCTGACATTCTGCTTAACCGCGTTAACATCTGGGTTTGAGAGCTGGTGCGACCACATCCTGGAACCCAGGTGCCCTGTATACAAGGCTTGAGGCTATTTTTGTTATGAGCTTGGCTTAGCATGTGAGAACAGGGAGGAGGTCTATGGGCTTGCCTTGCTGTGACCCTAACACTAATCACCCCTTTTATCTACACTGTTTTCAAGGGGCTGTTGCTACTTTCTTTGTTGCATTTCTTTATTGATCCTGCTAAGGCTATAGCCTTCTTAGGGACAATATAAACGTCTGTAGCTTTGAACCCCCTATGGAACTTTTCACAGACTGAAGAAAAGTCCATACCTACATGCTAAATGAAATTATTAATATTTAAAGAGCCTATTGGGCTGGGAGCAGTGGCTCACACTTATAATCCCAGCACTTTGGGAGCCTGAGGCGGGCAGATCATTTGAGGTCAGGAGTTTGATACCAGCCTGGCCAACATGGTGAAACTCCATCTCCACTAAAAATACAGAAAATCAGCCTGGCACGGTGGTGCGTGGCTGTAATCCCAGCTACTCGGGAGGCTGAGGCATGAGAATCGCTTGAACCTGGGAGGCAGAGGTTGCAGTGAGCCGAGATTGTGCCATTGCACTCCAGCCTGATTGACAGTGTGAGACACTGTCTCAAAAAAAAAAAAAAAAAAAAAAAAAAAATAGAGCTGAGTGAAAGAGGCATCCCCTGGGTTAATGTGAAGCTCCAGAGAGCTGAAGGTAGGATCAATGACTGGAAGTTCAACAGCACAAAGCTGTATTTAAATGTCTTTCTAATGAGTAAGTTGTTCACTAAATAAAACTTGTTTTTTGAGGTACCCATCATTAAATGTGTGGGAGCAGAGTCTTGAAAATCAGCTGTCAGGGTGTTGCAGAGGAGATCCCAGCTTGGATTAGCGAATCTCTTCCAATCCTAAAGCGTATGAATGTGCTTTCTTTGTCAAGCATTATAGAAATGCAAAATAGTATTATTCATTTGATGCAGAAATAAGTTAATTTGTGCTATTTAAATCCTGAAGTGCAGGGATGCTAAATGCACATAAGATCTGAATATTAATATAATTATGTTTTTTGTAGTAATAAAACTAAAAATTTTTGCTCTGGGCTGTCCTTTTTACTCTTCTCCACCCTACTCCCCACAAACCACTCAAGAACTTTTGCACTCTGTTCCCTTCCTTTCTCACTTGCTCTTCTTCTTTCTTCAGTCTTGAGTGGTCGTCAGTTGATTCCTGTGCTTGGGGCTTGGGTTCCTATATATACATAAATCAAAGCGTGTTCTCCCCCTCACTCCAGGTTCTTCTAACCGTGGGTGTCACCCACATAGCACTGAAACAAGGAACAAGAGAGCATTGTCCTCGGCTAGTGGGCGCCTGGTTCATGTGGCAGCTCAAACCCAGGAATTGTGGGGTCTGATCCAGACGGTTAGACGAGGCTCGTCGTTCGTGGGAATGGTGGTCCGCAAGGTCCTCTCGAGACCCCTTTACACACTCCCCAGCTTAGATCACCATTTATGTATCTTTCTGGTTAAAGCTTCACATTAGAACAGGAGGGAGCCCAAAGTATCTTTTTTCTTGGGTGTCTGAACCGGCCAACCACGACGTTTTTAGGCCGACCTAGGAGGGAGAGGGAGTACAACACACCGCTAAGCCTTTAAGGAAGGCTCTAAACAAGTCCGCCGTTCGCTGTTCGGGAGTGGGATACAAAATGAATATGCACGCAGGTGCAACACAGACTGCAGATTTTTGAGCCAGCGGTGTTTCTGCCGAAATCCTGGCAAATTCCGGTGGAAGTGAGCGGAAGGAGGCGGGGGAGGAGACCAAAGAACCAGAAAACAACCAGCAAACCATCTGGGGAGTGAGGAGTTGAGAAGCTCCGCAGTCTTTTAAAGAGACTCGAGTCACCTGACATCCCAACCCCGGCTCGCGCGCCTCCACCCGGCGGGGCCGCCTGACGTCACTTCCGTCCAGACCGGAACCCGAGATGGCGGCGTTCTTGCTGAGGTGACTTTTCGTGTGGGGCTGGGAGTTGGTGGCTGCGGCCCTCCGGAGACCTGAACTGGTCCCTCACGTTTTGCTGACAAGTGTTTACCCTGTGCCTGGGCGGGGAGAGGACCCATGGGTGTGGAGGCCAAACGCTCGGGAATCCTAGAGACCCGTTTTCCAGTCCCCCCCGCCAGCAGCTCCAGTGCGCTCCGTAGGGCTTCGGGGTCACTGACTCCCTATCGAGGGGCGCGCGGCTCTCGCCCCTTCTGTTTTCTCCACCTCCTCTAGTACTTCTTCCGCAAATTGCACTCGTGCTTGCACCCAGAGCCGAGCTCTGAGAAAATAACGTTGAGGTCAGCCACCCACGGGTCCTACGATTTCGAGAGCGTGTTTAGACGTTTAGCTTCGGAGAGAGAGTTCTGGGTGTATTTTGCTTTTGCGTCTAATGCCTTCAAACACTGGCTGCTCCCGGCAGTGAGTGGCACTGTCAGCGTTCCCAGCGGGCCGCTGGCAAAGGGTGCCTGGACCCCTACTAGGGTGGCGATTGGCATTAGCACCCAGGGCGGTCCTCTGCTGCCCCAAAGCAGTACAGGGAATTCATTTTTAGTTCATCTTTTTATTTGCGAGAGAAAGTGAGTGTCCCAGTTTTTCTCTAAAATATGAATTAGTTGTCCAGAGAAATACCCTAGATTTTCTTTCATTCTAAACTTTCTGCTGTATAGGTCTCATTCTCTACTCAGCCTCTCTACTCAAAGCGACTAGACTAGAGCCTTTAGACGCTCCTGGTACAAATGCCAGTACAGTTTTGTGCCAGCCCTATTTTTGGAAATTATTTGTTGTGGAAAGTTAGCTTCAGTGCTATTGAGATTTCAATCCCTGATTTCCCCAAATGTGTTCTCATTTCTCTTTCCACTTCAGTCACACAGTTTAAAAATAGAGGGACTTTGTTTAGTTTTTTTTTCAGTGACAAAATGATTCCTCTTGGAGTTGAAATCAGGGTTATCTTAATCCTTCATTTTCTCCGTTTTTCATCTCCATATGTGTCTTCTTTCTAAGGTATGCCAAGGCTTGTTTTGCTAGTGCTGCCTCCTTTATTCCAGATGGTTTGACCATAATTGAATGGTTTTGAATTCTCTGATGTATTTTGATAGGGGCTTTTGGTAGAATTAACATTTAGTTTGAAATGATCATATTGGTCCCAAACAGTTCATTATAGGAGTTTTGGGATTAGTATTTACAGGCAGAGGATCATTATACTCATTAAGTGTATCCATACAGTATCATTTGAGTTGTATAGCACTGTCCATACTAGGATTCAATGCCAAGAAAGATGTATTTTTCATTAGTGGCAATCTGAAGCTCTCATGGGAAGGACACCTCTATTTCTCATAAGGGCTTTTTTTTTTTTTTAGAAGGAGAAATGAGGAATTACATTTTTTTTTCTTGATAGAAGTTTCCAATCTAATTCCATTTTACCAGAGGGATCTGGAACGGTTCATAATGTTCTGATTTAACCTCAAAAGAAAATACCTTCTGAGAAATCCTAGGAGCTGGCTTCTAGTTCTACATTTATTTTAGACAAGTCAAGATCATTGATTCTGTGATTGTGGTTTCCTCATTTGTGTTGACAATGGCAATGACTTGGTCCCACTTAAGAGAAATATTGGTTAAACTTTTTTTTTTTGGGGGGGGTCTTCTTTTTTGTTATTTTTATTTTTATTTTTATTTTTTTTGTGATGGAGTCTCGCTCTGTTGCCTAGGCTGAAGTGCAGAGGTGCGATCTCAGCTCACTGCAACCTCTGCCACCCCAGTTCAAGTGATTCTCCTGTCTTAGCCTCGCAAGTAGATGGGAATATGGGTGCCTGCTACCACGCCTGGCTAATTTTTGTATTTTTAGTAGAGACTGGGTTTCACCATCTTGGCCAGACTGGACTCCTGACCTTGTGATCCGTCTGCCTTGGCCTCCCAAAGTGCTGGGATTACAGGCATGGGCCACTGTGCCTGGCCTTTATTTTTATTTTTGGTTAAACTTAAATTTTTTTTTATTTATGTACTTCTAATTGGCAGATGAAAATTGTGTATATGGTGTAAAACATGTTTTGAAAAATCGTGTATGCTAAATGGAGCTATTAACATACGTATTACATCTTTGTGGGGAGAACACTTGAAATTTATTCTTAGTGATTTTCTTTTTTTTTTTTTGGAGACGGAGTTTTGCTTGTTACCCAGGCTGGAGTGCAATGGCACGATCTCGGCTCACCGCAACCTCCGCCTCCTGGGTTCAGGCAATTCTCCTGCCTCAGCCTCCGTAGTAGCTGGGATCACAGGCACGCGCCACCATGCCCAGCTAATTTTTTGTATTTTTAGTAGAGATGGGGTTTCACCATGCTGACCAGGATGGTCTCGATCTCTTGACCTCGTGATCCACCCGCCTCAGCCTCCCAAAGTGCTGGGATTATAGGCTTGAGCCACCGCGCCTGTCCCCCCCCTTTTTTTCTTTTTTGAGACGGAGTTTTGCGCTTGTTACCCAGGCTGAAGTGCAATGGCGTGATCTCGGCTCACCGCAACCTCCGCCTCCTGGGTTCAGGCAATTCTCCTGCCTCAGCCTCCTGAGTAGCTGGGATTACAGACATGCGCCACCATGCCCAGCTAATTTTTTGTATTTTTAGTTAGAGACGGGGTTTCACATGTTGACCGGGATGGTCTTGATCTCTTGACCTCGTGATCCACCTGCCTCAGACTCCCAAAGTGCTGGGATTACAGGCATGAGCCACCAAGCCCGGCTATTCTTAGTGATTTTCAAGTATACAATGCCTTGTTATTAACTATGATTAACAATAATCTAATAACTTGATAATAGTACTATGTAGTTGTATAATAGATCTCTTGAACTTATTCCTCCTGTCTAACTGAAATTTTGTATCCTTTACCAATTTTTCCCCTTCCCCCCCATATGAATATGTTTAATGCTTGTCTAATTATTAGTTATCAGAGTATTGTATTGTCATGGTTTTTGAATATATGCTGTATATTTTGTATATTCCCTAAACAGTTCAGGGATCAGCCAGAGATGAACAACCAGCCAAGTAACACAAACCATTGGCAATCAGTCAAGGAATGACTTGCCAAAGCCAAGGAGTCAGAGAACTAAGCTAAGGATAGCTAGGCTTCCGTCTAACAATGTTCATGCTCCTTAAGCACAAAGTCACCAAGAGTCTTTAACTATCTAATTGTATTAAATACTGTGTGTGAAATGCCCCTAAATATTAAGGTTTAACTCTCAATTTATGGACTGCTTTTTAAAATAAGCACATTCATTCACAAACTTTTCTCTTTAGCTTCTTCTATGTGTCAGACATTATTACATTATTATAAGTACTGTTTGAATCCAAGGCCTGACCTTGAATTGAGACCAGCCTGACCAACATGGAGAACCCCGTCTCTATTAAAAATACAAAATTAGTTGGGCATGGTGCATGCCTGTAATACCAGCTACTCGGGAGGCTGAGGCAGGAGAATCACTTGAACCCCGGAGGTGGAGGTTGGGGTGAGCCGATGTTGTGCCATTGTACTCCAGTCTGGGCAACAGGAGCAAAACTCTGTCTCAAAAAAAAAAAAAAAAAAAGTACTATGCATCCAAACTATTCCAGTCCTGTCCTTGAGCTCAAAGTCTAGCAGGGAGATAAATAGATTAATTATTAAACAATGTAAGAAATATTAATAGATATGAACAAGTGTGAGAGCATGGTAGATACAGCAAGTAAGGCTAAAGAAGTGGTGATCTTGCTATCCAGGAATTGTTTTTTTTTTAATTTTTAATTTTTTGTTTTTTTTTTTGAGACTGAGTCTTGGTCTGTCACCCAGGCTGGAGTGCAGTGGTACAGTCTTGGCTCACTGCAACCTCTGCCTCCTGGGTTCAAGAGATTCTTCTACCTCAGCCACCTGGGTAGCTGGGATTACAGGTGCGTGCCACTATGCCCAGCTAATTTTTGTACTTTTAGTAGAAACATGGTTTCACCATGTTGGCCAGGCTGGTCTTGATATCCTGACCTCAAATGATCCACCCACCTTGGCCTCCCATAGTGCTGGGATTACAGGCGTGAGCTACTGTGCTGGCGCTTAGGGGTTTTGAAGGATGAATTTTAACAGGCTCTGAGGGAGGCTATAGTCAGAGAACAGCATGAACAAAGGCATGTGGTCAAAAGAGGGTTTGCTGTATCTGGACATGATGTGTAATGTTCAGTGTGGCAGAATTAGAGGGGATTCAAAGGGATTTGTGGGAGTTTAGGTCTAGAGTTGGATAGGGCCACATTGTAAAGTACACTGTTTGCCCACAGTTTGGATCTTATACTGTAAGCAGTGAGAAATTAACTGTTAAAGACTTTTAGGCGGAAGAATGATGAAACCATGTTATTTTATTTACTTTGGTATTGAATCATATGTAAGAGATTGGTGCTAGGGAGATCAGTTCAGGAGCTCGTGTTACAGTCCTGGTGAGAAATGAAGAGGATATAGATTATAGCAATGGATTGGAATGAAGTTTCCTAGACGTTAATGGTAAGGTTGGATGATTCCATGCATATATATGGGGCGAGAGAAAAGAAATCAAGAATGACTTAGGTTATAGCTTGATAGTGGAGTGGTAATAATCATTAACCAGAACCTTTGTATATAAATTATTATTCATCATGTCATTCAAGGTTATATATTAACTTTATATATTAATTTAACTCTGCTAAAAATATAAAAATTAGCCCGGCGTGGTGGTGGGCACCTGTATTCCCAGCTACTCAGGAGGTTGAGGCAGGAGAATTGCTTGAACCCAGGCAGCAGAGATTGCAGTGAGCCAAGATCACACCACTATAGTCCAGCCTGGGCAAAAGTCATATAATATATGACTATAAGAAGAGAAACTCATTATATTATAGTCACATCTTGTTTTGGACTAAATTTGTTATAATTCAGTTTGAACACATAGACTTGACTTTGAATAACTTTTATTTTTTCCCAGAAATCAAATATATTTTCAGTAGATGATATTCTTGTTACCACTGAGGGTTTTAAAGAGAATGTGATGCAAATTCTAAAGACCGTGGGGAGATCAGTGATAATATATTACATATATATGTGGTGTTTTGTGGTTTAGACAATGCTTTCCTGTATGTTTTCTTGTGCAGTACACTCAGCAACCAATAAGGTAGGTATTATCAGTCCCATTTTATAAATGAAAATGCTGAAGCTCAATGACTCACTGAAGTTATACAACTTATTCTGAGATTTCAGTCTTGATTTTTTACTTTCTAATGTTATTTTTACGTTACTTTTGCTGCCCCAATTCAGAGAAGAGTTTCAAAAATGATTTGAGCAGTGATCACATTTTGGAGAGACATGTATAATGCATTTAGGAGGGGGCAACAATAACTAGACAATCTAAGTTCTGGTTTGTCAATTAAAAATACAGAGTTCTGTTTTCACATGAACGAGAAGGACAGATAACTACTTTTGTCATATTTCAAATAAGGTTATGGCATTTGTGCAGCTAGTTTCTGTGAGGGCCTTGTAGAAAGTTTACATTGATATTTGTCTGGGAAACAATAGCACTAGACAGAGAGGGCACGCCATAGATTCCAACCCACATCTGCAAACTCTTGCTGGGTAGCTGAGTGACTGGGCCTAGCCTGGTGTGAGGAATGCGTGCCCTGCAACTTCAGAGTCACAATTCAATTGATTGAAAGAGATTTGTTCCCACTTCTTTCTGGGAGCCTTGGGTATACAATGTCTGTATTCACCTCTTTCCTTCAAAGCTGGAAAGAGGGAAGAGCTGAAGAAGGAAGTGTTGGTTAGATTTTTTTTTCCTTCAAATAGTAAGCCCTTCTAGTGTACTAATGGGAAGCATACAGCTTTTGAAAAGTTTGTACATTTAATATCAGTGGTGTGAGGGACATCATGAGCTTTTTCAGAAGATCATTAGATCTTTGTGAGATCTTGTATCCTCCTAGTGCCTTACACATATTGAATATGCAATAAACTTGTAGAATCATTGTATTTTTAAGTTTTAGTCCCAGAAATTCACTGTATTCACCTTATTAAATGCTTTTGGAAAGATTTGATATAATGATGTGACTGAAGGGTGTAATGGTCATGTGTTTTTCATAATACACGATAAACATGCCTTTTCTGAAAAGCTGGGGACCAGAAGTATTTAGGATTTTGGATTTTTTTCAGATTTTGTAATATTTGCATTATACTTATTGGTTTAGTATCACTAACCTGAAATCCAAAATGCTCCAGTGAGCATTTCTTTTGAGCATCATGTCAAGCACCCAAAAAGTTTTGGGTTATGGAGGTTTCAGATTTTGAATTTTCCAGAGTAGGGGTGCAAAACCTATACTGTGTAAACTTTGGATCAGTTAAATTCTCCTTAGATAGAGTGCCTGGTCACATCTTAGTTTTTGACTTGAAAAGCAATTCTGGCACTGATGTATACATTTCGAAAATAGCAACTTTTAAGTAGAGGACTTTCATGGGATCAGTAAAAAAATTTTTTTCATTCCCAGTTTTTTGCACATTATTATAATTACATGAAAGACTTTTTGCCTTTTTATTTTTATTTTTATTTCTCATGTGGATTTGCAATCCAATGAAAGACTTTTGACTTGAAATCTTCGCTCAGGTTATCTGGAGCTTGATTGATGTTAGTTTCTGAAATGACCTAGTTTAATATTTAGGATGCTCTATCCACAAACCCCTTGCAGTCTTCAACCTTTTTTTTTTTTTTTTTTTTAAGACAAGGTCTAGCCCTGTCACCCAGTCTGGAATGCAGTGGTGCGATCTTGGCTCATTGCAACCTCTGCCTCCCAGGCTCGAGTGATACTCCCATCTCAGCCTCCGGAGTAGCTGGGACTCTGGGCATGTACTACCACACCCAGCTAATTTTCATATTTTTTGTAGAGATGGAGTTTTACCACGTTGTCCAGGCTGGTATTGAACTCCTAGGCTCAAGTAGTCCACTGGCCTCGACCTCCCAAAGGCTAGGATTATAGGCATGAGCCACCACACCTGGCCCAACCTTTTAAATTCATCCATTTGTAACAGGTTTCTGTTAAAGCTAAGCTATATGCTTGCAGTTACCGGTGGGATTATTCTGTTTTTGTTTTGTTTTGTTAACCCTGTCTCTCATACCTCACCTCCTAGAAGACCTAGCTTTTAAAAAAATCTCTATTTCTCTGTTGAACATTTCCAACTCTGATTATTCTTATTCTTTTACCTTGTATTATTTGTGTTTGATTAAAACGTTATTTTGCAGCCAGGCACGGTGGTCCCCAGCACTTTGGGAGGCTGAGGCGGGTGGATCACCAGATTAGGAGATCAAGACCATCCTGGCCAACATGGTGAAACCCTGTCTCTACTAAAAATACAAAAATTAGCCAGGCATGGTGGCACGGGCCTGTAATCCCAGCTACTTGGGAGGCTGAGGCAGGAGAATCCCTTGAACTCAGGAGGTGGAGGTTGCAGTGAGCTGAGATTGCACCATTGCACTCCAGCCTGGTGACAGAGCGGGACTCCATCTCAAAAACAAAAGACAAACTTTATTTTGCATTTTTAGGTAATAGTTCTGATTATTTTCAAGTTACTTAGAGTTGTAGCTTTTCAACTGGAAAATGATACCAAGGACACTGTACTGTCATTGTTTTTATCTTATTTTTAATCCATCCCTTCACCCCTAAGTCTAATATAGTACAAAAATAGAAGTTGATATACTAAAGTTGATCTCTAAATGTATATTGATTTTGATTCTCTTGTCTTGCAGACACGTTAGTCGTCATTGCCTCCGAAACCACTTTAGCCCTCAGCTCTGTGTCAGAAAGTAAGTTTCTAAGTCTGGAGATTATTATTATTTTTTTTTCCTTAGGGAAAAGCAATAGATTATTGACTTAGATTTGGTGGATATGTATGAAAGTGGGCAGTGGTAGACAGCTGACTGAAATTTAAGTAACTGTGGTCACTGTTTATTGTTTGTGTGTATGCGTGTTGCTTGTTTTTGAGACAGGCTCTCTGTTGCCTAGGCTAGACTGCAGTGGCACAATCAGAGCTCGCTGTAGCCTCAACTTCCTCAGCTCAGCTTCCTGTTGCTGGGACTACAAGTGTATGGTGTACCACCATGCCTGGCTAATTTTTTGTATTTTTTGTAGAGTCTGGTTTCGCCATTTTGCCCAAGCTGGTCTTGAACTCCTGGACTCAAGTGATTCTCCTGCCTTGGCTGGGATTATAGGCATGAGCCACTGCACCCAGACTTTCATGCTATATATTTATTCTCAGCCTGTTGATGTCAACAGTTACCTTTATGTGACTTTTAAAAAACTTTTTGTTTTGGAAATATTTTAAACTTTCAGAGAAGTTATAAGATTCTATATGCCTTTCACCCACACTTGTCAGTTGTTAACATTTATTGTGTTTGCTTATCACTCTTTTTCTGTATTTTAGATTATGCTATATGAAGTTTTTATTTTTGTAGGTCAAAACTGGTGGAATATTAATGACTTAGTGTAGTTCAGCCTAATATATATTTAATTATTACTATTTTCACTGAATGCTTTAAGAGTAAGTTTGAATATCATGACCATTTACCTCTAAATATTTCTCCTAAGGATAAAGAAATTGTCTTACATAATGCAGTGTAATTATATAAGCATAATTATCAAATTCAGGACATTTAACATTGATTAACTCTTATCTGATATACAGTTGATTTTCAGATTTTTCATTTGTCCCAAATAATGTATTTTATAGAAATACAATCAGCTGGGCATGGTGGCTCACGTCTGTAATCCTCACAATTTAGGAGGCCTATGCAGAAGGATCATTTGAGGCCAGGAGTTCAAGACCAGCCTGAGCAACAGAGAGACACCCTGTCTCTACAAAAAATTAAAAAATAAAAAATTAGCTGAGTATGGTGGTGTGTGCCTATAGCCTCACCTATGGGAGAGGCTAAGGCAGGAGGATGTCTTGGGCCCAGCAGTTTGAGGCTGCAGTGAGCTATGATCATGCCAGTGCACTACAGCCTGGGCAATAGAATGAGACCTCCGTCTCTATTTTAAAAACAAGAAGGTCGGGTGCAGTGGCTCACACTTGTAATCCCAGCACTTTGGGAGGCTGAGGCGGGTGGATCACCTGAGGTCAGGAGTTCAAGACCAGCCTGGCCAACATGGTGAAACCCTGTCTCTACTAAAAATACAAAAAATTAACCTGGCATGGTGGCGGATACCTGTGAGTAATCCCAGCTACTTGGGAGGCTGAGGCAGGAGAATTGCTTTAACCCAGAAGGCGGAGGTTGCAGTCAGCTGAGATTGTGCCATTGCACTCCAGCCTGAGAGACAAGGGTGAAACTCCGTCTCAAAAAAAAAGAAAGAAAAAGGAAACACAGTTCTCCATTGTCCATCCAGAATCTAATTAGGCTCACACATTGAACTTAGTTGACCTCTTTCTTTAGTATCCTATAGTCTGGAACTGTTGCTTAGACTTTCTCTACAGTCTTATGACATTGACAATTTTTGAAGAATACAGGCCAGTTTTGTAGTGTTCCTCAAGTTGGCTTTTTCTGACTCTTTCCTAATGATTAGATTCAGGTTGTGCTTTTTTGGCAGGAGTAATGGATGATGTTAATATCCTCAATACATCATGTCAAAGGCCATATGATGCCATATGATGCCATATTTTACCATTATCAGTAATTTTTCCTTTTTTTTTTTTTTTTTTTTTGTTGAGATGGAGTTTTGCTCTTGTTGCCCAGGCTGGAGCGCAATTGCATGATTTCGGCTCACCACAACCTTCTCCTCCCAAGTTCAAGTGATTCTCCTGCCTCAGCCTACCAAGTAGCTGGAATTGCAGGAAGGTACCACCACGCCTGCTGATTGCATGTTTTTAGTGGAGATAGGGTTTCTCCATGTTGGTCAGGCTGGTCTTGAACTCCCGACCTTAGGTGATCTGCCCTCCTTGGCCTCCAAAAGTGCTGGGATTACAGATGTGAACCACTGCACCTGGCTTTTTTTTTTTTTTTTTTTTAATTTTTTTTTTTTTTGAGATGTGATCTCGCCCAGGCTGGGTTGCAGTAGGGTGATCATGGCTCAGTGCAACCTCAGCCTCCCAGGCTCAGGGGATCCTTCCACCTCAGCCTCCTGAGTAGCTGGGACCACAGGAGCTCACCACCATGCCTGGCTAATTTTTTGTAATTTTGATAGAGGTGGGATTTTGCCATTTTGGTTAGGCTGGTCTCAAACTCCTGAGCTCAGGTGATCTGCTTGCCTAGGCCTCCCCAAGTGCTAAGATTACAGTCGTGAGCCACTGCACCTGGCCCTCTTTCTTTTTTTAGAGATGGGGATCTCACTGTGTTGCCCAGGCTGGTCTTAAACTCCTAGCCTCAAGTGATCCTCTTACCTTGGCCTCCCAAACTTCTAGGAATTACAGGTGTGAACCACTGCACTCGGCCTAATTTTTTTTTTTTTTTTGAGACGGAGTTTCGCTCTTGTTACCCAGGCTGGAGTGCAATGGCACGATCTCGGCTCACCGCAACCTCCGCCTCCTGGGCTCAGGCAATTCTCCTGCCTCAGCCTCCTAAGTAGCTGGGATTACAGGCATGCACCACTATGCCCAGCTAACTTTTTGTATTTTTAGTAGAGACGGGGTTTCACCTTGTTGACCAGGATGGTCTCGATCTCTCGACCTCGTGATCCACCCGCCTCGGCCTCCCAAAGTGCTGGGATTACAGGCTTGAGCCACCGCGCCCGGCCATCGGCCTAATTTTTAACTTTGATCATTTGGATAACAAATGTCTGCTAGGATTTTTCTATTGTAAAGTTACTGTTATTTCCTTTTGTAATTAATAGATAATCTCTAGACAGATATTTTCTTGAAGGAATGGAATCATGTTTAATATAGGCACATAATAGATTTTTTTATTTTCTGAGACAGGATCTCAGTCTGTCACCCAGGCTGAAGTGCGGTGACATGATCATGGCTCACCACATCCTCAATCCCCCTGGGCTCAGGTGATCCTCCCGTCTCAGCCTCCTGAGCAGCTGAACTACAGGTGCACACCACCATGCCCAGCTAGTTTTTGTGTTTTTTGTAGAGAAGGGGTTTTACCATGTTGCTCAGGTTGGTCTTGAATTCCTGGGCTCAAGCGATCCACCCACCTCAGCCTCTGAAAGTGCTAGGATTACAGGCATGAATCACCATGCTCAACCTAATAAATTGTTGAGGATAGCTATTTCTTATTTATTTATTTATAGAGACAGGGTCTCCCTATGTTGCCCAGGATGGTCTCGAACTCCTGGGCTCAAGGGATCTTCCTGCCTCGGTCTCTCAAAGTGCTAGGATTACAGGCATGAGCCACCACACCTGGCCTGAGTATAGCTGGTTAATAATTGGTTTCAACCTAGCCCAGTGACAAAGGAAACCAAAAAACTATTGTGGTACTGAACTGAATCTAGTTCTTGATTTTTGAGAACCTGAAAGGGAATCTTGAAAAGCCAGATGAAAGCAGATGGTAATGTATGAGTTGAAACTCTGGCCTTGGAAAAGCATAATCCATTTATGTGAATATTTTAAAAATACACTTGCCTTGCCACCCAACAAGAAGTTGTGCTTTCACTGTCAGACCTGTGTATTGGGTGGGATTAGAAAGCAGAGTTCTTGGCTGGGTGTGGTGGCTCATGCCTGTAATTCCAGCACTTTGGGAGGCCGAGGTGGGCGGATCATGATGTCAGGAGATCAAGACCATCCTGGCCCCATCTCTACTAAAAATATAAAAATTAGCTAGGCATGGTGCACACGCCTGTAGTCCCAGCTACTTGGGATGCTGAGGTAGGAGAATTGCTGAATCTGGGATGCGAAGTTCGCAGTTAGCCGAGATTGTGCTACTGAACTCTGGCCTGGCAGCAGAGTGAGAATCCATCTCAAAAAAAAAAAAAAGAAATCAGAGTTATCATCTGATGTGACCTCATCAGATGATTGAAGTTATTAACTGAATTAAACTTTGTATAAAAATAAGGTAAGTGGAGGAACATGTTTTCCCAATACTGTGGATTTGTCTAGCCCACCATACTGTTGTTGGAAAAGGGGTCTTGACCCAGATACCAAGAGAGGGGTCTTGGATCTAATGTAGGAAGGAATTCAAGGTGAGTAGCAAAGCGCAGTGAAAGAAGCAAGTTTATTAGAAACTACTCCTTTATATAGTAGGATGTCCTCCGGAAACAAATGGAGGAACATGTTTTCTTTAAGTTTCTTCTCTCTCTCTCTCTCTCTTTTTTTTTTTTTTTATATATCTTTTTCTTTGTCTTTAAATTTTTATTTTTTTAATTTTGATTTTTTTTGACAACATTTTGAGATAGAGTGTTGCTTTGTTGCCGAGGCTGGAGTAACATCATGCAATCACAGCTCACTGCAGCCTCTACCTCCCTGGGCTCTCAGGACATATCTCATCTCAGCCTCCCGAATAGGTGGGACTATAGGCTTGGACCATCATGCCTGGCTTAATTTTCTTTACGTTTTTTTGTGGAGATGGGGTTTTGCCATGTTGCCCAGGCTGGCCTCAAACTTCTAGGCTCAAGTTGTCTGACCACCTTAGCCTCCCAAAGCGCTGGGATTATAGGCATGAGCCACTATGCCTGGCCTAAGTGTTCCTTATATAGAGATCTTGTCTATGTAAAGACTAAACTAAGCTGTGCTTACATGCGGAGGTGCAGACAGCATGACAAAATTTATTATTCTATTGATTTAAAGAAAACTATCCTTGACATTTTAGTGTGTAAGGACATCAAAGCATAACAATAATTATTTTGAAAGCATATGTTGTTATGGGTATTGGGACATCTGGACTTTGTGTTGTTGGAGTTTGTCTTTGCAGGTATTACCAAGCTGCTTCCTTATCTGTAAACATCTTAGGACCGTGGGTTGTGACTGGCAAGGAATCTGCCTTGCTAGTTTTAAGATGGAGTTGATTTTATTTTTATTATTTTCTGTTTTCTATTGCTGTAGCAAGATGGAGTCAATTTTAAAATAGTGTCACTCTGGCTCTCCTAGGCTCCTGCTTCCCTAACAAAACCTTTTCTAAAAAGGTATTGCAATTTTTTTTTTGAGACAATTTTGCTCTTGTTACCCAGGCTGGAGTGCAATGGCACAATCTCGGCTCACTGCAACCTCTGCCTGCTGGGTTCGAGCAATTCTCCTGCCTCTGCCTCCAGAGTAGCTGGGATTACAGGCGCCTGCTGCCACACCCAGCTAATTTTGTATTTTTAATGGAGACGGGATTTCTCTATGTTGGTCAGGCTGGTCTTGAGCCCCCAACCTCAGGTGATCCGCCCACCTTAGCCTCCAAAAGTGCTGGGATTACAGGCATGAGCTACCGTGCCTGGCCTGTATTGCAAAATATTAACTTAACAAAAAGTTATGCAAAATATTAAACCAAGCTTACTTTTAGTTCTTTTGAAACTTTCTGGTTTTATTTTAGTGCTGTTCCTTTGGGAACCACAGCCAAAGAAGAGATGGAGCGGTTCTGGAATAAGAACACAGGTTCCAACCGTCCCTTATCTCCCCACATCACTATCTACAGGTAAGGACTCTGGAGCCAGAGAATCTAGAAGTAGTGGGTGAGTTATTAAGGTTGATCTTTAGCCTACCTGATACTTCCCTCACTTTTGCTCAACTAAAATACAGCTCTGTAGATAAGGTGAACCCTTCAGAGTAGAGGGAGATAACATAAGGATTATCTTAGGCCTTTTTTATATGGAGATGACTAAATTCTATCTTCTAGCATTAGAAAGGTAATGTATCCTGCAAAACTACCATTAAGAAAATTCTGGGCCGGGTGTGGTGGCTCATGCCTGTAATCCCAGCACTTTGGGAGGCCGAGGCGGATGGATCGAGAGGTCATGAGATTGAGACCATCCTGGTCAACATAGTGAAAACCCGTCTCTACTAAAAATACAATAGAAATACACCATTGTACATTTCCACTAGCAGTGTATAAGGGTTCTAGTTTATCCACATCCTCACCAACACAACATCCATATTTCTTTTTTTTTTTTTTTTTTTTTTTTGAGACCGAGTTTCGCTCTTGTTACCCAGGCTGGAGTGCAATGGCGCCATCTCGGCTCACCGCAACCTCCGCCTCCTGGGTTCAGGCAATTCTCCTGCCTCAGCCTCCTGAGTAGCTGGGATTACAGGCACGCACCACCATGCCCAGCTAATTTTTTGTATTTTTAGTAGAGACGGGGTTTCACCATGTTGACCAGGATGGTCTCGATCTCTTGACCTCGTGATCCACCCGCCTCGGCCTCCCAAAGTGCTGGGATTACAAGCTTGAGCCACCGCGCCCGGCCTCCATATTTCTATTAACATCTGTTCAAGGCAATTTGAGCTTTTTAAAAATTATGGTTCTAAAAATTATTTTAATCCCTTCCACTGCCCAATTTCAAAGGCACTTCAGCATTTTTGGGTATTCATTAACAGCTGCACTCCTCTTTCAGTCACCACAATCTATACTAGTTTTCTGTTTGCTGCCATAACAAATTATTGCAAACTTAGTGACTTAAAACAACACAAATTTATGACAGTTCTGTGGGTCAGAAGTCTGACAAAATCTTCCTGGACTGAAATCAAGGTGTTTGCAGGGCCCTGTTTCCTTCTGGAGGCCCTAGGGAAGAATGCATTTCCTTGCCTTTTCTAGCTTCCAGAGGCTACCTGAATTCCTTGGCATGTGTCCTCCTTCCTCTGTCTTCAGAACCAGTAATGCTAAATTGAATTCTTCAGTCACAACAGTTGACCCTGCTTCTGTCATCACATTTCTTCTTTGACTCCTTTCTTCTGTGAGCCTCTTCTGCTTTTCTTTTTTCTCTTTTCTCTCTTCTGCTGTTAAAGATCTTTATGATTGCACTGGGCTCGTCCTAATAATCTAGAATAGTCTATGTTGTTTTGCTTTTGAGACAGGGTCTCGCTGTGTTGCCCAGGCTGAAATGCACAAGTTTTCTACAAGTTTTTTTTTTTGAGACAGAGTCACTGACTTTGCCACTTGGCCTGCAAAGCCTAATATTTTTACTCTCTGCCTCCCCCCTGATCCCCCTGCTTTTTTTTTTTTTTTTTCATTCTTTAAGTTAGAACCTGCTTTTTTTTTTTTTTGAGACAAAGTCTCACTCTGTTACCCAGGCCGGAGAGAAGTGGCATGATCTCAGCTCACTGCAGCCTCCACCTCCTGGGTTCAAGTGATTTTCCTGCATCAGCCCCATGAGTAGCTGGGATTACAGGCATGTGCCACCATGCCCAGCTAATTTTTTTGTATTTTTAGTAGAGATGGAGTTTCACCATATTGGCCAGGCTGGTCTCCAACGTGTCACCTTGTGATCCACCTGCCTTGGCCTCCTGCTGGGATTGCAGGCATGAGCCACCATGCCTGGCTCTACAAGTTTTTAATAAAACTTGTGGGAAATGATCATGGCTAACAGCAGCTTCAACCTCATAGGCTTAAGTGGTCCTTTCAGCTCAGCCTCCTGAGTACCTGGGGCTACAGGTATGCACCACCATGCCTGACTCATTTTTTTTTTTTTTTTTTTTTTTTTTTGAGATAGAGTTTCGCTCTTGTTACCCAGGCTGGAGTGCAATGGCGCGATCTCGGCTCACCGCAACCTCCGCCTCCTGGGTTCAGGCAATTCTCCTGCCTCAGCCTCCTGAGTAGCTGGGATTACAGGCACGTGCCACCATGCCCAGCTAATTTTTTGTATTTTTAGTAGAGACGGGGTTTCACCATGTTGACCAGGATGGTCTCGATCTCTCGACCTCGTGATCCACCCGCCTCTGCCTCCCAAAGTGCTGGGATTACAGGCTTGAGCCACCGCGCCCGGCCTGACTCATTTTTAAATATTTCCTAGAAATGGAGTTTGGCCATGTTGCTTAGGCTGACTTTGATCTCCTAGGCTCAAGCTGTCCTCCCACTTTGGCCTTCCAAAATTCTGGGATTACAGGTGTGAGCCACTGCACACAGCCTAGTCTCTTTATCTTAAGGTTCTCTTATTAGCAACTTTAATTTCATCTGCAACCTTAATTCCCCTTTGCCATAAAAGGTAACATATTCATAGGTTCTAGGGATTAGAATATGGACATCTTTAAGGAGGCCATTATTCTGCCTACTACAACTTTTTTTTTTTTTTTTTTTTGAGATGGAGTTTCGCTCTTGTTACCCAGGCTGGAGTGCAATGGCACAATCTCGGCTCACTGCAACCTCCGCCTCCTGGGTTCAGGCAATTCTCCTGCCTCAGCCTCCTGAGTAGCTGGGATTACAGGCACGTGCCACCATGCCCAGCTAATTTTTTGCATTTTTAGTAGAGACGGGGTTTCACCATGTTGACCAGGATGGTCTCGATCTCTCGACCTCGTGATCCACCCGCCTTGGCCTCCCAAAGTGCTGGGATTACAAGCTTGAGCCACCGTGCCCGGCCTCTACTACAACTTCTTAATGCTTGGGTATGTGTTTCCTCAATTGCAAGACAATCTCCAAAGTACAACCATCACCATGTTAATTAGAAAATTAACATTGATCCAGTGTTACGACCTAAACCTTAGTCCCATTCAAATTTTGCCACTCCGTGAATGTCCTTTATAGGTCTAAGATTGAACCTAGAATTATATATTATGTTTAGTTGTCATGTCTCTTTAATCTCCTACAGTATGGAAGACATTTTTAGTCTTTCCTTATTTGTTATGACCTAGATATTTTTAGAATGTTCCTCAATTTGGGTTTATTTGGTGTTTTTTTTTTGCTTTTTTTTTTTTTTTTTGAGGCGAAGATTTGTTCTTGTTGCCCAGGCTGGAGTGCAATGGCAAGATCTCGACTCACTGCAACCTCCGCCTCCTGGGTTCAAGCGATTCTCCTGCCTCAGCCTCCCGAGTAGCTGGGATTACAGGCATGCACCACCATGCCCAGCTAATTTCGTATTTTTAGTAGAGACGAGGTTTCACCTTGTTGATCAGGCTGGTCTCCAACTCCTGACCTCAGGTGATCTGCGTGCCTCGGCCTCCCAAAGTGCTGGGATTACAGGTGTGAGCCATAGCACCCGGCTATTTGCTGTTTTATGATTTATGCATTTTTGGCAGGAATACCCCTGCAGTAACGCTACAGTTCTCTGAGTACATTGTATCAGGAGGCAGGTGCTGATGATTTATCCCATTATTGGTGATGTTAACTTTTGTCACTGTTTAAGATGTGTCTGTTAGATTTCTCTACTGTAAAGTTATTGAATAAGGATGTTGTATTTATTAATTAATACATATTTTGGGGGGGGAGTTACTTTGAAACTAAATATTCTTTCTCATCAGATATTTACTCATTAATATCTGTTGGAGGTACTTGCCTAAATCATTTATTACCGAGATAGTTGCCAAATGTGTTGTTATTAATTTTATATAATATTTTCTAGATTTATTTGTTATGATAGGGTAATGCTTAAACTTTCTATATCAGTATGGACTCAAGGATAATAGAGACTCAAGCATTATTTTGCCCAAAGGATTATACTGCGTATTTATTTATTTTTGTCTCCCAGGCTGTTGTGCAGTGGTGCAATCTCAGCTCACTGCAACCTCTGCTTCCTGGGTTCAAGTGATTCTTCTTCCTCAGTCTCCTGAGTAGCTGGGATTACAGGCATGTGCCACCACATCTGGCTAATTTTTTTATTTTTAGTAGAGACTGGATTTTACCATGTTGGCCTGGCTGGTCTCTACCTCCTGACCTCGTGATCCTCCCGCCTTGACCTCCCAAAGTGCTGGGATTACAGGCGTGAGTCACCAGGCCAAGCCCCCTGTTATTATTTATTTTGGTGTTCAAATTGTCCCAGACCTGGCCCATAGGAGATCTTCAAAATGACTCTTGTGAAATCAGTATCTAGGTGCTAGATGTGCTCATCGCTACTGGTATGTCATTGCTTCTAGGCTCCCCGTGGATAGAAGTAGCATATATATATGTATGCATTCTCTGTCACACACACACACCACATGTGTATATACATACATGCATCATACATGCATATGTACACATCTCTGTTTATCTCATCTTCAAAAGTGGCATTGATAGCTGTTTTTTGCTCATGTCTTCGAAATAAGCCCCTGTAAATCTGCTTTTTTTTTTCTTTTTAGGCTAACCCAGCAAAGCATCTTGAGCTCTGCTACTGTCTTGGGTTTCTGCCAATGAGGCTGGCCATTTTTTAACCACCTCCACAAATACCATAACCCTTAAGTTTTTTTCCAAGCCAGATTCCAGGAATAATCCTGTTTGTAGAAACTGGTCATGCCACTAAAACAGAAGGAGACTAATAAGTGATCTCATTTCTTCCTGTTTAATGGTGAATCTTTTTTTTTTAAGAGATAAAAGTTTTGGGGAAGAATTATAATGAAAAAGAGCTTCCCAAGTTATTCTGAATCTGTATTTAAAGCCCTGGCCTTTTTTCACAGGCCATATAAAGAATGATTGTAGGTTGGTGAGGTGATTCTTTCACTACCTTGTTTGCTTTTTTTATGTAACTCCAGACATACTTGGGGTTGGTGGGGGGGAAAGCAACTGGGAACATGGGGCTATCTCCAGAGTGGCATGTCAGGGAAAGATATCTGAGATATCTGAAATCATATTTTCTATTAACCACTTTTTGGATTTTTTGAGAGGCTTGGAAGTAAATGGTTAGTGATGTTAAATATCTTTTCATGTACTTATTGGCCATTGGCAGTCTTGGCCATTGGAGACATGTTTTTACTTTTCTGGAGGTATTTTTTGTTGTTATTTTTGCTTTTCAGGCAGGGTCTCCCTCTGTCACTCAGGCTGGAGTACAGTGACAGGATCACTGCTTGCTGTAGCCTCCGCCTCCCTGGCTCAGGCAATCCTGCTGCCTCAGTGCCCCCAAGTAGCTGGGACTACAGGGGCATGTCACCATATCTGGGTAATTCTTGTATTTTTTGTAGAGACAGGTTTTTTTTTTTTTTTTTTTTTTTTTTTTGCCATGTTGCCCAGGCTGTTCTCAAACTCCTGAACTCAGGCAATCTGCCCACCTCGGCCTCCCAAAGTGCTAGGATTACAGGCATGAGCCACTGTGCCTGGCCACAATCTTGATTTTCTATAATCAAGATGTAGAATGTTCATAAGGGGCTAGTGAAGAAGACTTACCTTTGCTCCATGATGCCTGAGACCCCAGCTGGAAAACACAAAGGCTAGGGGCTGAATTAATCTGAAGATCCAATCATTCACGCGTCTTGGGTTGATTCTGGCTGTTGGGTAGGGCCCTTATTTTCTCTCTCCATTGGCATTTTCACATGATGTCTGTGTAAGCAAGCTGCTTTGGGTTTCCACGTATGATGAGGGAGGAACGAGAATTTGTAAGTCACGCAGCATCATTTCTGCTGCATTCTATCTTTTGAAGCAGTCGAGCATGATTTCCTGCCCAGGTTCAAGGGTAGAGGCTAAATACTTGCTTGATGAGAAATGACAAGATTCTGGAAGATCACGAGGGACTGGAAATAATGTGGTTATTTTTAGAAAACAAAATCTTTTACCTTGTCATTACTGGGCTAACCAGGCTATGATTTTAACTGTTTTTGAAAATTAGGGTAACATTTGAATTCAGCAGTTTCATATTACATCACTACCATTTTCTATATCAGTATTTCTGAAAGATTTCCAAAACAGTGCATATGTTTCTTCTATTAGCTCTTTCAGTCATGGGATTTGATTCATCTGGTCCCAGAGCCCCAAGTGTGTTTGGAATCTTCTAATTTTCTCACCTCTTTAGGGTTTCAAGTCTTTCAAATCAATATTTCTTCCGTCTTTTTTATGCTGATAATCATTCTCTTTGACAGATAAAATAGTTGTGCAATCTGTTTCACACTCTGTCATCAATTAGCATAAAATTGCTCATCCCAGTTAGGAGGCTCTCTGTCTCAGAATACAATTTTAAAAGCTCCTTTTTGTTGTCCTTGAGATTTTTGCAAGCCTCAGCTCATTCTGAGTTTCAGTCTCCTGATTCTTCTTGCCAGATCACTCCATTGTTCTCTGCCCTTGGTTATGTGGCTCTTCCATCTTTCGTATTTCTCTTGTTAAATCTGAGTTGATCAGAGTGGTGTCTAGCTAGTATTAATATTTTTAAATTTATTTGGGAATACTCCTTTCTTACTGTGACCATTTTCATTATGTAGGTAGAATTTTTTGAGATCTTTTTAATCTCCTCATTTCTCTTTAGAATGTTTAATATATGGTTTGATTATGTTTGTTATTCTTTGTCTAAGCTAACATGCCAAGATGAGTGTTAACTTTCTACAGAAACTCTTGTTCTTTCCATTTTATCCACCAGTTCTCTCTTGAGCGTGAGAACTAGGCCTAGAATAACAATGTTGGTTGTCCTTCTATGGAAAGTTGATGATGCATGATTTAAAAAGGGGTTTGATGACAAAAAGTATTTCACAACTACTGTGGATTAAGAAATATATACTAAATCCGGAAGACTGGATATAAAAATTTGGGATAGGTAATTTATTGTAGCATTTTCTTTCTTTCTTTTTTTTTTTTGGAGACGGAGTCTTGCTCTGTTGCCCAGGCTGGAGTGCAGTGGCATAATCTCGGCTTACTGCAACCTCCACCTCCTGGGTTCAAGCATTTCTCCTGCCTCAGCCTCACAAGTAGCTGGGATAATAGGCATGTGCCACCATGCCCGGCTAATTTTGTTGAGATGGGATTTCTTCATGTTGTTCAGGCTGATCTCAAACTCCTGACCTCAGGTGATCCCCCTGCCTCAGCCTCGCTGGGATTATAGGTGTGAGCCACCGTGCCTGGCCCAGGTTTGTATTTTTAAAGTAAAAAGTGGAAACATGGCTGGGCACGGTGGCTCATGCCTATAATCCCAGCACTTTGGGAGGCTGAGGTGGGCAGATCACAAGGTCAGGAGTTCAAGACCAGCCTGGCCTAGATGGTGAAACTCTTGTCTTTACCAAAAATACAAAAATTAGCCAGATGGGGTGGTGGGTGGATGTAATACCAGCTACTCAGGAGACTGGAGAATCTCTTGAACCCAGGAGGCACAGGTTGCAGTGAGCTGAGATTGCACCACAGCACTCCAACCTAGGTGACAGAACAAGACTCTTGTCGGTGGGGAAGAAAAAAAAGTGAAAACACAGAAATTTGAAAGCTGGGGTTTTTTTTTGTTTGTTTGTTTTTGTTTTTAGAAAATAGTGCCTATTCAGGAGAATCGCTTGAAACTGGGAGGGGAGGCGGAGGTTGCAGTGAACCAAGATCGGGCTGCTGCATTCCAGCCTGTGTGACAGAGCGAGACTCTGTCTCAAAAAAAAAAAAGAAAAAGGAAAAATGAAAATAGCACCTATTTCAGATTTAGTTTATATTTTTGCCAAGATGAACTCTACTGTGGTGTCATCTTTTCCTTTTTATTTATTTATTTTATTTTGTTTTTCTTTTTATTTATTTATTTATTTTTCTTTTCTATCTTTTCCTTTTTAAAATTGTCTCTGTGTGTTTTACAGTTGGTCTCTTCCCATGGCGATGTCCATCTGCCACCGTGGTACTGGTATTGCTTTGAGTGCAGGTATGTATATGTGTTTTTACACACACACATTTGCTGCTTTGAAAATCTTGGCTGTTTCAGTGGTCTTAGTCACTGCCTCCTTTGCCACTCTGCAGCTTGATTTAGAGGAAACAATAAGTCTCTTTTAAGTTTATTTTTCATTCATCCCTTTAACAATTAATTAACGTTGCACTGTGCTCAGATTTTTTCTTTTTTTTTGAGACAGTTGTTCTGTGGCCCAGGCTGGAGTGCAGTGGCTTGATCTCGGCTCACTGCAACCTCCACCTCCCAGTTCAAGCGATTCTTCTGCCTCAGCCTGCTGAGTAGCTGGGACTACAGGAACGTGCCACCACACCTGGCTAATTTTTTGTATTTTTAGTAGAGACGGGATTTCACTGCGTTAGCCAGGATGATCTTGATCTCCTGACCTCGTGATCCACCCGCCTCAAACTCCCAAAGTGCTGGGATTACAGGTGTGAGCCACCATGCCCTGCCCAGATTATTTTCTTAGTAAATTTTTAACCCATTCCCTAGCACTTCCTAATATCATATTTACTGAAATTATAGAGAGCAGAGAAATGCAATAGAGATGGGATGGCTGACTGATCATTGATGAAACATAGTTCAAGATGAATCATCAGCCTTATTCTTCAGAAACTCAGTTTTAGCACCCATTCTTATCACCTAGACTTGATCAGTCCCCAAAGACTAGCTTACTAACCAATCTCATGAAATCTTGTTTTACAGACCAGAATGTCTATTTATTCATTTATGTAATATGAAATGGAGCTACAGAGTGAATTGTATACTGGTCTTAGATAATTAGTACATCCTTTTTAGGTAGGAAGGTTTATTATGTGGAGTGCAGATTACAATCAGGCTTCTGGGATCTGATGTATCTTATCACAGTAGGGATATACTTTTCAAGAGGTCAGGTAGTGTTAAAAATTTTCTCTGGCTGTTGCTGGAAACAGACATTTTTGCTTTTTTATTTTATTTTTTATTTTTATTTTATTTTACTTTTTTTGAGACGGAGTTTCGCTCTTGTTACCCAGGCTGGAGTGCAATGGCGCGATCTCCAATGAGGCTCACCGCAACCTCCGCCTCCTGGGTTCAGGCAATTATCCTGCCTCAGCCTCCTGAGTAGCTGGGATTACAGGCACGCGCCACCATGCCCAGCTAATTTTTTGTATTTTTGGTAGAGATGGGGTTTCACCATGTTGACCAGGATGGTCTCGATCTCTTGACCTCGTGATCCACCCACCTCGGCCTCCCAAAGTGCTGGGATTACAGGCTTGAGCCACTGCGCCTGGCCCTGCTTTTTTATTTTTATGTGTTTATTTTCTCACAAGAATATGCATATAACGTATTTTTACTTTTTAAGCTTTCCTTTATCTAGCCTTATAGCATACGTTGTTCTCCTATCCCCACCAAAAACAGAAACAGAAACTAGATTATGTTCCCTAGATACACACTCTCAAAGCAATCTAGTTTTTCTTTCATAACAATCATCTTAGTTGTAATTTACTTGTTCATTGTCATTCTTCCTTACTGGATTGCCCGTTCCCTGAAGCTTAGATGGCATCCGTCTGTATTTTTAATCATCTAGTATGGTACCTAGAACGCAGTAGATAATTTAATAAATATTTGGTGAATACAAAATGAATACCACTCTCTTTTTTGTTAATACGTTTTATATATTTCTGTCCTAAATTTCTGTTCAGTGTATGACCATAGTTTTTGGCTCTAGAAGTATCTTGTTTTGGTCCCCTGCATACCAACTATAATAACTACCTAACTAGTATTGTATTTCAACTGGTATTTCTTTGTGATGTGATTACTAGTTTAGCTGAAAGCTATTCAATTCAGTGGGAGCAAGAAGAGGTTATCGGACATTAGAGTGCTGCATAGATAAATCTAAGTTTGTTTTCTATTAGTCACCTTGAGACATCGGGGGAACTTGTGTTCTCACCCAGCAAAGGTGATCTAGCTCTTATATATCCACAGGGAGAACAGATACAAACTAAGAGTAGTGGAGTGCTTTCTAAAAGAAATGCTCCAATGAACGGTTAGCACACATTCAGTAAGACTTTCTGTTCTAAGTTGAAGTCCTAGGACCCTTGCTGGGAAAGGAAAATGTTCTTATGAGTTTGAACAGTGTGTAAATCCCTGCTGTGTGTACAGACTCTTTTCTCCTGTGGAGTGTTCCCTGGTACGTCTTTTTTTTTTTTTTTCTGAGACACAGTTTCACTCTTGTTGCCCTGCCTGGAGTCTTGACAGTGGCACAGTCTTGGCTCACTGCAGCCTCCTGAGACCAACTTCCCGGGTTCAAGCTGTTCTCTTGCCTCAGCCTCTCAAGTAACTGGGATTACAGGTGCCCGCCACCATGCCTGGCTAGTTTTTGTATTTGTAGTAGAGACAGGGTTTCCAAACTCCTGACCTCAGGTGATCTGCCTGCCATTGCTCTCAAGGTGCTGGGATTATAGGCATGATCCACCATGCCTGGCCCCCTACTATGTGTTTAACCTCATCCTAGGGAATAAGAGAAAATATCTTGCCTAGAATCCATATGAAGTTATATACCTGAGAGACAGAAGCCCCACTGTTTTACCTTATGTAAAACTCAGTCTGAGCCCCTCTGTCTCATCTCTTTTGGTACTTTAGCCTGGGAGCAGTGCCTAAGTTTTATTCATCACATCAGGCATCATTACAGTCTTGCCAAGAGATGGCCCATTTGTACAGAGTAGAGCAGATGGCAGCCTTCAGGTCCTAGCATGTAGTGTGCTCTTGCTTCAGAAATTTGGTGCCAAATAGAGCTGTCGAGGTAGGAAAGGGAGTTTCTCTTGACTTTTGCTTTGTTGAAGTGATGGTGGTATTGTAAAAGTGCTCTTGTTTCTGTTTTTCATAGTATCCTTCAGGGTCCCTCCTAGGCCTCTGTAAACTATTTTTTTTTTTTTTTTTTTTTAAGACAGGGTTTCACCATATTGGTCAGGCTGGTCTCAAACTCTGAACCTCAGATGATCTGCCCACCTCGGCCTCCCAAAGTGCTGGGATTACAGGCATGAGCCACGGCGCCCGGCCCTGTAAACTGTGTCTTTAACTGAAGTGGTCATCAGTAGGGCTATTGGCTCTAGTGTATATCTTGTATTTAAGGAGCTGCTGATGAAACATTGGCAGGAAGTGTCTGAATCTAAGCCTCTGCTATTTGCCATCTCGTACGTGTGTGTGTATATTTATGTATGTCTACTTATAGACATATATAGTTTTGTTGATAAGGATAGAGACTCCTATCTAAGATCTGATGCTGTCATTTCTGTTCTTTCATTCCTTTGGTTGGTAAAGGGATGCTGGAATTGAGGTATAAGGATGATTCATCAGCCGGGCATGGTGGCTTACACCTGTAGTCCCAGCACTTTGGGACGCTGAGGCGGGTGGATCACGTGGTCAGGAGTTCAAGACCAACCTGGCCAATAATGGTGAAACCCCATCTCTACTAAAAATGGCTGGGCGTGGTGGCTCCTGCCTATAGTTTTAGCTGCTTGGGAGGCTGAGGCAGGAGAATCACTTGAACCCGGGAGGCAGAGGTTGCAGTGAGCCGAGATCATGCCACTGCACTCCAGCTTGGGCGACAGAGTGAGACTCCATCTCAAAAAAAAAGAAAAGATGATTCATGTTGTTAGGAATCCATATATAGTTCTGGTTTTTAAGCTGCTTGCACTGAACTGATAGGGGTGATAGAGTAAATCTCATGATTAGGCCATTCTAACTGTAGATTCATAATCACTTTTTATTTTTTTTTTTAAGGGAGAAGGAGTCTAGCTCTGTCGCCTAGGCTGGAGTGTAGTGGTACAATCTCGGCCCACTGCAACCTCTGCTTCCCGGGTTCAGGTGACTCTCCTGCCTCAGCCTCCTGAGCAGCTGGTATTACAGGCGCCCGCCACTGCATCCAGTTAAATTTTGTATTTTTAGTAGAGATGGGATTTCACGGTCTCAAACAGACCAGCCTATTTGGCCAGGCTGATCTCAAACTCCTGACCTCGTGATCTTCCTGGCTTGGCCTCCCAAAATGCTGGGATTATAAGCATGAGCCACTGCACCTGGCCAATTACTTTTATTTCTGCTTGCTTAGAATAAGAATTTTTTAGATTGATTAAGGAATTTCTAGATGGATGCTTTCTGCTCAGTTTGGTGATATTGATGAACAGATTTAATCCTAAAAATTACTGAAAGAACAAGAGCAGTTTATTTATTAAGCTGTAGTTTCCCTTATTATCTCAGTATATTTGTCACCACTAAATGAAAAAGAGGATATTGACTCTTTTATCGACTATAATGATAAAAAAATGCATTCATTTGCATTCATGGCTAAAATTAGATATTTTTCACAACTGAGGAATTATTTAGGCAGGATGCAGTGGTTTACATCTGTAATCCCTTTGGGAGGCCGAGGCAGGAGGATTGCTTGAGCCCAGGAGTTCAAGATCATCCTGGGTAACATATCAAGACCCTATCTCTATAAAAAATTTAAAAATTAACCTGGAATGGTGGCTTGCATCTATAGTCTCAGCTAGGGAGGCTGAGGTAAGGAGGAATACCCAGAAATTCAAGGCTGCAGTGATCTGTGATTGTGCCACTGCACTCCTGCCTGATCACAGCAAGACCCTATTTTTAAAAAAATTATTTTTTCTCTCTTTACCCCTTTGAATGGTGGCTTTGCATTCATCAGCATATGTCCTGTTTTTCCCAAACCTTCTCTCCTAATTCCATGATTGAATATAGTAGCTGTGTTCTATAGAGTAGTAGTTACACTGTTTTCTTCAAATGCTGATGGTCCCTCCATCAAAATTATAAAGGAACAGGTTTTTGCCAGATAGATGACTTAGACAAATTACCTAATTCTCTAAACCTCAGTCTTGAACTCCTGACCTCAAGTGATCCACCCACCTCGGCTTCCCAAAGTACTGGGATTACAGGCATGAACTACCGTGCCTGGCCTACAATGTTTTAAAAGGTTGAAAGAG